GGATACATCATACATGCAGGAGAGGCAACAGTGGAGAGAGGTGTGCATGTACACACACTGCAACACCAAGGTGCCAGTGCAGGTCGCGATCTCTAAAGTGAACCAAGGTAACAGAGGAAACCCCCCTGCCTCCCTACCAAGCCCACTCAGCTACAGCCCTCGGGTGTAGCTAGGCGGCCGTGACGGCGCGTTAGCTAGGTGCAGGCCAGCGGGGAAGACTAAGACCAAGATTACGTCGAAGCCGCATAGAGGCGCCAGGACTTCTTTTGAATGGACTGCGGGCACAGACTTCCTGACTTCGTGCAAGACTTTTCCCGCTAGAGCCCAGGGTGCGAAACAAAAAATTGAAACGAATTGTCCCACGTCCGTTGGACGTCCGTTGTGACCCCCGCGCGCGCGGTGGACGGAGGACCTCTATGAGGACCTCCCGCCGGGCGACCGCAAAACAATTTTAATATTTCTATGGCCGCGGCTAGCCCTATGGTCGTTTCGCACACTGCTAGAGCTCCTGCTCCGCAACACTCCCGCGGAGCAACACCCGCCTTGCGATGTCCAAATAGCTCTCGTAGCCGCCCTTGGACCTCTTTCAAGTGCCGACTACAGCTGTAGTCGAATCTCACTTCTACGCACCGCCCAATTCATCATCGGACCAGAGCTCGTCTTCACGGTCAACTGAGAGCGGCGATGCGCTTGGTGCCCACCTGAGTTGAATTATGAAAAAGGTCACCTTTAGATTTCGTCGCTGGAGTTTGCGAATCAAGTACTGTCTTCTCTCGGGTCATCGAAGCGCAGAGGGTGAGCGAGTATTCAAGTTCCCGAGAGAGAGAGTTTAGTCGTTGAGGCGTGACATCACGAAGTTTCATTGTCGCCTCTTCCTGTTCTAAGACAGCTGTTCCTTGCTGTACGTAATCGAAAGCTGAACCAACTCTCTCATTCAATTCTTTCCAGAATGCGCGTCTCAGGAACTCCCTGGCCATATCCAAGGGACAATTCAAGTCGACGTCAAAATGTCCTAGTAGCTGCGGTTCACCTAGATATGAGGCCTGAAGAGTCACAGTAACAGTGGTTTTGTCTTTCGAGGTCTCCCATGGTCTGTGTTTGTCCTTTGCCTATGATGCTATGCTCGGTACGCAGAGCGTCGACCAGACGCAGTATTTTCACATCTTTTCGATACTGGACGATGTCAGATAAAACTCGCGCAACATTTTTTACCGGTAGTGTTAGGACAAAGCATGCTCCCGTAACCATCGATTTTGCAATCCTTTGCATACCAAAGCCAGTAGTTTCGTCGAAAGGTCCAAACAGATTATGGGCGCGACTTCTTATCTTATCCTGAATCCTTGCGGCTCGTTTTTCTAAGCTCCTCTGGGTATCCGACCCTGCATCAACACGTTTTGCAACCGATAATAACTGGCGCTTATACATCGCAAGCATGTTGATTTCTGACTTTATGGCGAACTGTGTGAGGGGGTTGCCCAGTGCCAGATCACCTAGGAATCAGCTTGGACTCAAGCAGCATGATACAAACACTAACACGTACGAGTGCGTGTAACAGCTCTGCGCCAATGTGGTTCTCGGGGAAACTTGAATACCTTCACATTCTCCAAATCGCCATGTGTCCAGATGCGATTCAATTTAACTTTGTGCAGATCATCGGGATCAAACGTCCATTTTGGGAGTTTGGCCTATGCAAATGATTTTTTAGGTGCCTTGATATCACCGGTAGCTCAACGACCTGAAACTCAGCTTCTGCCTTTTGTGCCGCAGCTTTAAAATCAACCATGTCCAAATCTATGCTGCTGCTTGCCACGGCTTCATTTCTTGCTGCTTCTATATGTAGCATGGTTGCAGCTAGCGCCCTGCGAACTTTGAAAGCGAGCTTATCGAGCGTTGACGGGACTCCATCGTTCTTGCTAGCCCGATACACGGAGGGGGAATCACCAATTCGAAATCTGTCACCCACTTGAATAAACTTGGACCCGTGAATTGATGGCTCTGCAAAACGGGAATCTTTTTTCATTGTCAGAGAGAAGTCTTCGATCTCCACTGCATGGTTGAGAGCATCAATAATTTTCATTTCCATCTTACGGGGCCCAAGCAATTTTGATCGCTGCGATTTGACTTGACACAACTCACGATCCATAGCTTCAATTTGCTTCACGCATGCCTCGTGCTTCCGACGACATTCGCGCATATGTAGCTTGAACTTGTCTTGTATCATATTTGGATCATTTGCAGACCGAGACCTGAGTTCTTAAGCTCGGCGCACAATGATTGAGTATAAGGATTCAGACCTGCGGTACGCTTCCTGTCCGACCTCATATTCTTTCTTTGCCTTTTTCGCTTTGTATGCTGCACTCTGGCGCTTGAGTTTCAAATGGCGCTGCGCTACGGCCAGAGATAGATATACGGATGTATGTACGGGCCCGTTTCTTATCTTGAAGTCTTCTTGTTCTTTGACATAAAGCGCGAACTCAACCCACCTATATATTCCGGTGCTGTGAGAAAGGAAAGTGCAGAATGAGAATTTCTGCGCGGATGTGCACCGCCCCCGAATGACATCTTTTACTGTGCTACGTGCCCAGAAAGGAACTCTTTTCATCACGGTTTCGATTGGTGTATCGCTGTCGAGGAGTGCACCGTTGCCGAAGAAGCAAGCGACTTGATACATGATTTTTTTCCTGTGATGTGTGTCTGCAATTCTTCTTTCAATCCATAGCTTTCGTTCGTTGAGAAAAGCCTTTATGTGATCGCGGCACTTACATCCGCGCCAGATTTTTTGAATGACAAGCGCATAAGAGCCTTCTTTTATCTTCTGGAGCTTTGAATTGCGACTTTTACTTGCCAACTTGATTTCTGTCAGATGGCGTAATTCCTCGAGCCGCTTGTAATGATCTTTGACCGTGTTGGGAATGTAGGGCACAGTGCGAATTTCTCCTGCGTCTGAAATTGAATAGCTGCGTGTACATGGTATACAAAGCTGTTTCTCTTTCAAAGGGCCGCCCGTTTTTCGAGCTGCGAATTCACCACATTTGTCACAATACGGTACCTAAACTCACGCTAGCAAGCTTGAAACACTTGATGGGACTCCAATCAAGTACCATCTGTTCAAAGGTGTGCTTCTGAAGTGAACCCTTGGAGTGCTGGTCCACAAAACAAGTGTCGCAGAAGAAATCCTCACATTGTTCACAAAATTTTGTGCCTGGGAATGTCTGCATCAACAAGACACTGTACGAAATTGCAGCTTACCGATTTGGAAACGACACTGTACGCAGGAATCAATACTCACGTGAACATGTTCATTTTGTTCGCTATGCTTTACATAACAGTCCTCGCAATAAAGATCGTCGCAGTTGATGCAGTATTTTGCTATTGTTGAATTGTAACATTTCAGGCATCTGATTTCGAACAGCAAGTCAGCGTTGGGCAAACGTGTTGCGCTTCCCACATCTGCCCAGGCCAGGGCGCGAGGTTTTGCCCAAATGGAAGTTGCTGATCTTTTGTTGAACCAGAAATCACGCCCTGAATCAAAGTCAAGGAATTTCTCGTATGTTTCTTGGGCCACTGCCATAGCCTTGCAGCGTCCAACAATGCCACGGAAGAAAGACTGAAGCGTCAAAACGGCCCTAGAGCCCAGCAGACGCTCGATGTTGATCAGCTGTACTTTCTTATGAGCTCCCGAAACTAGGCGAGCCTTGTGACCACGCCAGAGTTGTAAAACTGCCTGGGCGGAGTAATTCAGCCTCGCTTGTGCGCGACCCCTGCAAGACAGATCACGCAACTCCTCTGTGCAATTTATAGCTACCTTCGACTGAAATACATGTTTTTGAAGGAAGATACATAACTGAGCATCGGAACCTAAGCGCTGCCTGCAGCTTAGCTGTGGTGGTAGAAAAATGCTGGCTAAAGCGCGAAGTGCTTTTAAAAACTCGTTGTAATGTAAGTGACTCTCAACAGTAAGTTGTTTACTACGCCCCCGATACTTCATGAAAGTTAATTCGACATCTGATTGAGATAAACCAGTAGGATTGGTAGGCTGCATGACGCAAGGCGTTTCCTTGATTAAGCGTGCAAAATTTCCCACGCCAAGGCGCGTTGTGTTGCCCCTTTGGCCATAAGAACAATATGTGTTGAAGATGCGCTGGAGATCTGAAGCATGGACTGACTCGCGAATCACTGATTGACGTATGATCTGGCGTTGAGTTTCCAGAATGCTAGAATGCTTGAAGAGTATACGGCCTGCTAGACCACACTCCGACCTCCGACAATTCATATCAACTGATTTTTTAATCTGCTGGCGGTACCTGAAACGGCGAAGTAGTACACGAAGCTTTGAACCAAGAACTAGCATTGATTTGTGATCTAAACAGTAGTATTTTCGGCGTCGAAAGCCGCGCCATGCCGCAGCTATATCCACGGCAGATTTGACCCTGGATTCGGATCTGGCAAGAGAGTGAATTACCACAACTGACAGAATTAGTGCTGCGCGATGATATTGCTTCCGTTGCAGCCGACACCGAAGCCAATACTGGAGGAAAGTGCGGACGCAGGTCACCTATGATTCGATAACTGGGTCAAACGAATGTAATTTTTGGAAGGCTCTCAAGGATCAGTGCTCAGCGTTGCACGTGCCACACCTGCTGGCTTGCCACTTTTGAACGTGCTGTGCCCCCTCGATGTGCTGATTGAATGCGAATAATACCCCGGGTCAACGTTCGTTTAGCTTTTGGGTGTATTTGCGCAAGTTGTTGAAGTTTACTACGCATCAAACTCTTTTGACGATCTGATTGTACCAACCTGTTGGCCGACTCTACTCCTTCTTTTGCCTGCTCTCGTAATCTTGCGACCTCGACACGAGCACATTGAACTCGACCAAGACCCTGAATCGACGTGATTGCATAACGTTTTCTTGCTTGTAACTCTATCTGCGTTTGCCGTCTTCTACGAACGCGAGCACGCATCTCTTTTTTCAATCGCTGTCGTCGGTACAAGGTTTGCAGCACACTGATTGATCGCCAGATCAGTTTCTGTGCGACGCGACCATCGCAAAATAATTGGACCCTTAGCCACGTTTGAATGATTTGAGCAGCACCGTGCTGCTCCAAGTTGTAGTCTGCAGAACTTTGTGCGCTTTGATAGCGCGCGTGCGCCCTCGAGTGATGAATGCGGTCCTTGGATTGTTTTGAATGTGCGCGCACGATCATGCTGCGAAATACACGTTGGATTACGATGGCCAATCGATTTTTGGAAAGAAGCTCAGTCATTTGCGCCACATTCTGTGAAGCTGACGCGTATGCACGGCGGACTTCTTGAGCGATAAGCGCGGATTCATGAAGACGCCTGCCTGCAGCGGTGCGCTTACTTAAGACGCAATGTGACATAAAGCATTTAATCCCCCTTCCTCCGTTTCGAATAAATGTAACGCGTTTCAACCTGTCTTGTTCTTGCAATTCGACGGACGCAGCCGCTGCGATTCGGACACTCCGCAATAGCCGTGTCGAAGACCGCAAGCGCCCCAGGTGCTGAATCTTCCTCGCGGAATCATGCATAGAAGCGAAGCGGCTCTGATCGCGAAATGAAATCCAGCGCTTCCACGAAGCGGATAATCGATTTACATTTAATAAGTGAATGCTTCTGGATAGTGTCGAGAGCGCCCTGTCGTGGGCGGCATTACACATGTTTATTGACGATAGAAATGTCAAGGGTAAGCTAGACAATGTCTCATACAGAAGGTCATTGACACGAACGTTTGGCACTTGAAACGCTCCCTGTAATTGGTCGCAAACTTTATTGGATGGCGTCCGCCATCTGAGTGCAAGTCGAAA